GGTGGCACCGAAAAGAAATGCTGTTTTTCTTGGTAAAAATTTTGCTGATCCACCGTTAAAAAATTTAAATTTTTTTGTACCCGACCTCAAATATCAATTAGAAAATAAATACCCACCCCTGACCGAAAACGTTACAAAAGAATACCATTCAGTTGTCACTCGTGTCCTTTACCACTTCTGTGACATGAGTTTGATAACTGCTTGTGCAATTTTCTGAAGTCCAAAGTTTCATGTTGTCTGCACATGTACTCTCTCTATCTTTGGAGACACCATTTGCCTCCTGACAAATCGCAAAATGATCAAGATAGTGACTCTGATTGATTTACATATTGTATTGACATATGACTGTTGACATTGCTTTTTAGTCTTCAATGTTTGAGTGAGTCATGCTTTGGAGATCACAATACATTTTTATTACCCAACCCTTGAGTTGTTTTGTTTTTTATTATCCAACCTTTTACTCACTCAAAATTTTGTTTACCCAACCCTTTTCTCTTCGGTGCCAACCCCTGCCATAAATAGTGACAGCTCGCTAAACTTAAATCCCCCAACGTAATCAACTAATATAAACTTATAATTAAATCTTCAAACTTAACTAAACTTAAATTTTTAAACTTTCTAACATGAGATTACGGAAGACTCGTTGAAAGCTCTGCTCCAACACTGTAAAGAAACCGAACTTGCTGTCGGCCAATCAATAACTGAGCCTGACTACAACACCGAAGACATCACAGCCTTTCAAAATGATAATCCGTGTCAAGATACAACCGAGTCGCACGAAATAACTGGACTGGAATCAGATAATTTTGGCTCGGATGAATTCACCGTTGATCGAACAGCATATGAAAGCTGTTTAGATAAAGAAGAACCTTCACACGACGAAAGTCTTGAGTTTTTGAATGAGACACTTTCAAATGGGAAACGGATAAAGACTAGGTCTAAAAGTTTGGAACTGTTTTATATCGAAAACTTTGCTAATTTGGAAAATTGCGATGATGGAGTTGACGGGGATGTTAAAAGCGATATTTTCGATAGCGGGGCTTCACAGGAATTGAAAAATGTGAATTTGACTCAGAGTTCTGAGGTAGAAGATAATAATTATAATAACAGCAACAGCGACAATAAAAACAGCAACGACAACAGCAGCAACAACGATAGCAACAACTACAACGACAGCAAGAATAAAAGCAATAGCAACGACAACGACAACAGCAGCATAAACAACAACAACGGTTACAATGACAGCTACAATAACAACAACAATAACAACGACACGAAAGGACTTTGGGAAATTACGAAGGCATTAAACGCTTACGAGCGGTACATGAGTCAAAGCTCTTTGGATGAGCTCAGTTGCATTGAAGAAGAGGGAAGCCTTGAAGATGAAAGCAGCGAACATTCGGAGAACGAGGGAATAGAGCTTGTGGAAGAAGGTTTCAAAATGAACTTGCTCAAAACGGAAAAGCTAAAAATGGACGGGCTAGAAAATAGCACCATTGAATGTCAGGAAGATGAATCCGAAAAGGATTATTTTGAGGAAGAAGGCTTCGATAATGAACTAATTGACAATGAAAAATTTGATAAAGAACAATTCGTCAAAACGACGCCCTCGGAAAAGCTAGTCAAAGAGCATAAACCCAAAGAGCAAAGTATTCAACAGAAACTCAATCAGCAGACCCTCAGCGATGTTAGAAGCAATAACAAGGGATTCGAAAATGGGTTCCATGAGCCGAAGCTTGTGAAGCAGACGTCCAAATCAGAGAGGCTTGGGAATAGACTTCAAAATCAGGAGATTAAAGAAGCGGGAAGAAACGGAGTAGAAGAAAATGGACTGGAATTTAGCGAAGAAGAGGACAGTGATGTTGAGGAAAGCGAGTGGGAGACTGACGCGGAAAATGAGAGGGAGGAAAATGAACAAATGAAGGAGCGTGGTGATGGGGAAAATGGTAGAGGAAGGGGGAAGGTTTATTTCAATGATTCAAGGGAATATAATGGGGACGAAGATGATAGTGATGACGAGGGGGAGACCGAAAAACCAACAGAAGCATGGAAAAATGGAAGGAATGATAAAGAAAAAGACGGAGTGTCTTTTAATGATTCAAGAGAATATGGGGATGATTCGTTTGAAGAAGAGAGCGAATTTTCAAGTGATGAAGAAACGTCGGATTCTTCAGTTGAACAACGACAGGTAGAGAGATAACGAATTTAAATAATATTTAAACAATATTGAATGCATTATTAAGACATTAAACTAAACTCCGTTGTCAGCCGATAACTTCATGAAATAAAGTATAAAACACTCCAAATAATTGTTCAATATTTAGACCAAGAGCACACAATACCCAACAATGATATTTCGAATTCATTGCAAATTCGTCATCAGACCTAATGATGATGAATTTGCAATGAATTTGATATATCACTGTTGAGTATTGTGACATTGTGTCCTCTTGCTTTTCTTAAATATCAAGTTTCAACATGGAATTTCTATTTGAAGTTCGTTTCTTATTTTATTTCATTAAACTAATTGTATTAAACTGGATTAATTCACCTTAAACCAAATAAAAGCCAAGTGTAATGACAGTAAAAGATTTTTAGTTCTTTAAATGACATTATAAAATACTTAAAAAGTACATGACTTAAAAGTTAAATTATTTAAATGAAGCGCGGTGCATGATTCTAAAAGTGGAAATCACCAAACGGTTTTTATCCACTCTCAATTCGAGAAACCAAATCTTGAAAATAAATAGTCAATTTTGTTCATGTTAAATTGGGTGGACTAATTTTTTTCGTGTTCTTGTTCCAGGATAGCACGGCGACGATGAATTCAGAAACGATTGCCGACCTCGAGGCTCAGGTACACATCTAAAATTTACACCACACACAAAAATTTGGCAGAAAAGGATGTTGTGATATCGTTGTTAGAATATATTGTCTTTCAGTCTGCTTGCGCTGACGTAAAATGGGGTTAAAAAATTGACATTGAACTGCAGTGGCCTTCGGATCTTTTAAACCATTTGAAAACACAAGATATAGTACGTCAGTAAGTGGGGTATGCTAATCAACCTTACTTGCAGCTGAGAGCTAAGCTGAATGGACCTATTCCCAAATGAACAAAATTTTGATCGAGACAAATCTAGACAAAAAGTTCATCACAGCTTGAAAGAGCATCACAAAATTATTAATATTCCGAAGTTTCATTGCGAAATGTTGTAAAATGCGGATAATATAGCCCTGCGAAGTTTGCCGTTTTTCAGTCATTTTGTATTACGCGCGGGAAATTGATACCTTTTTTTAGAAAGCGGTATCAATTCCCCGTGCGTAATACAAAATGACTGAAAAACGGCAAACTTTGCAGGCTATATTATCCGCATTTTACAATATTTCACAACAAAATTTCGGAATATTACTAACTTTGTGATGCTCTTCCAAGCTGTGATGAAATTTTTGTCTAGACTTTTCCAGATCAAAATTTTGTTCATTAGGGAATAGGTCCATTATACGAAGGACGCAGCTCAACCTGATCGAGTCGAAGGCTTTCTAAGGGCGTCTCTGGCAGCCACCTTATAGCAAGCTTAAGCATGTAGGACGGCAACACGATGACGACGGCCAAAACAAATTCCTTCAAATAAATGATAGTAAAGAAAACTTGTCGTATATTATAATTCGTATGAATTTAATACAGTATAAGAAGTTGAAAACATTGGCTTTATGTTTGGGAAGAGTTCTACTGACCGAATTTTAAGTTGCACTTGTTACGGCTTGATATGCAAGCGTTGTATAAAAGACGTGAAAATCTGTGATTTGCCGTTGTAAACAGAACGACGACCACGTCTGAAACTCCCCTGGGACTTTAATTATTTATTTCTTTTCATTGACTCATTGTATTGGTTGCCGTCGCCGTCGTGTTGACGTCCTACATACTTAAGCTCCCTTTTGACTCATGTCTGATCACGGAGTACAGCTATGGGGGAAAGGTCAGTTTGATGGCTAATCCACCACACTAATGTCAACTTTCACTGTGGCAGGAAACCAGAGCACCCGGAGAAAACCTACGACTTTCGGCAGAGCGTTGACCGACTCTTTTCACATGAGTCCGTAGTGAGAATCCAACCCACGATCTCAGGCGAAACGCGCTCGCCAGGACGATCCTAATGCCCAGATATCTTCTTGGAATAGACAGCACTGAAATCCCAGATTTTCTAGGGTTAAGGCATGCAAATGAAATCATTATCATTTCGTACATTTGGCGCTCTGTGGAGTCCCCACTTCGAGGGTTCAATCTCTCTCCTTCGCAGAACCTCCTTAGGTATTTACAAATAACTTGCATGAAGTTTCCAGAATAAAAGTGAGCGCGCGCGGTGTGATGGGAAGATTGAAATGAAGTCGAGTAGCTCTTCCCATCACTCCTTGCGCGCTCACTTTTCCTCACCAGAAACTTCATGTAAGCCTCTGCGGAGGAGAGACAGGGTTCAATCACGCGGCATCCAAATGTAGTCGACCAATGAACTTCGACTTATTTCTAAATTTTTCAAGTTTAAGAAAATTAAAGAAAGCAAAGACGAAGAAGGGGAAGAGAAAAGTTCCAAAAGTGATGTCGATGATGATGACGACGATGATGAGATGGATTCTGCTGAGTTGGCAGAATTGGTTGCCATGGCATCCGATCTGACTGACGTCACCGACTCGGAGTCGGAAACAGAAAATCGGGGAGCACTAAAACGGAAGAGATCTCGACTATGACGACGATGACCAATGAAAGTCTTTCTGTAAGTCGTAAACATTTAAACTAAGACCGGATGAATCGAGGAACACTAGTTTAGTTTAGGTTTCCTCCTGTAGTAACACTGGATCAATAAGAGATGATCCTTACTGGAACTCTAGGAAGAACAGTTTAGAATTGATAGAGCTATCCAGTATAAATAAAGTTAGTTTAGTTTAGGTTTCCTTCTGTGGTACATTGGATCAATAAGAGATGATCTTTACGGACTTCTAGGAAGAACAGTGTAGAACTGATAGAGCTATCCAACTTATCCAGTATAAATATAGTTTAGATTTCCTTCTGTAGTAACAACTCTTAGTTTTTAATTTGTTTTCGAGCACTTGTATTATTAGCCCAAATATACAAATTTGAATTAGTTTCTCGTCTATATTTTTCAGACAAGTTATGCCACTCCAGAAAGAATGTACAAACTCGTCTTGGCAGGAGACGCTGCGGTCGGAAAATCAAGTTTCATTCTTCGCCTTTGTAAAAATAAATTTCATTCCAGTCTTAACGCGACGCTTGGTAAGTTTTAGAAAGATGTACATTGTTTGTATTATTTTCTATACGGGCAACTGCAAACAATGCAACAATCAAGCCCTATACATAATTTTTCCTTGCGAAGGAACCATGTTCCAAAGCTAATCATGCCGCCAGCTTTTGGACAAGGAAAACTTGTTCGTGTCTACGACCGCCAAGGAAACTTGACAAGTGTACATGAAGTACTTCTTTGGTTTTGGCAGACAAAAGGAGGCCTTGACGCGAGATAAATGTTTAACAACATTCCGTGTACAACGAGAAGGTAAACTTGGCACGGGAAAACAAAACTTGTTGACTGTACACACGAGAAAGTAAACTTGTCAAGGGAAACTTGTTGACTGTATACACGACTCACGAGAAAGTAAACTTGTCATGGGAAACTTGTTGACTGTATACACGATTCACGAGACAGTAAACTTGTCAAGGGAAACTTGTTGACTGTATACACGACTCACGAGAAAGTAAACTTGTTACGGGAAACTTGTCAATGGAAACTTGTTGACTGTACACACGAGAAAGTAAACTTGTCAAGGGAAACTTGTTGACTGTATACACGACTCACGAGAAAGTAAACTTGTCAAGGGAAACTTGTTGACTGTATACACGACTCACGAGAAAGTAAACTTGTTACGGGAAACTTGTCAATGGAAACTTGTTGACTGTACACACGAGAAAGTAAACTTGTCAAGGGAAACTTGTTGACTGTATACACGACTCACGAGAAAGTAAACTTGTCAAGGGAAACTTGTTGACTTTGTCAAGGGAAACTTGCTCATCTGTCCCGGCTAAACCTTCTGACTGGTGTCGAACCTACAGCCTTGCGATTCCCAGTCTATAAATGTATAACTGAAATTTTCGCTTGAAATTCCCATCCATAAAAAACTTTCAATATTCCGTTCTATGCGAGATGCCCAAACTTTTAAATATTTACCAATATATACCTCCTATACACTGGTATCATCTTAGTAAATGTACATGAACTTGTGGTTACTTTCTCGGCAAATGGACTCTGGACAAAGCGCTGCACTGGACTAAGATGCAGAAACAGCAATAAGATGCGTTATTCTTTTCCAGGTGTGGACTTTCAAGTGAAGAATCTCAAAGTGGATTCAAAAACTATCGCACTTCAACTGTGGGACACCGCTGGTCAGGAAAGGTACGGTACACTTTAACATTGAAACATTTCCTTCTGTGGTAACACTGGATCGACAAGAGATGATCCTTACTGGAACTCTAGGGAGAACAGATTAGAACTGATAGAACTCATACAAAAGTTGATGTTAGTGGAACGATTTGACATGACACTGATGTTTCTAACACCATTTGAGAAACAGGGTAGGTTTATTTACCAAAATCGTGTAACTATCCAGCATAAATAAAGTTAGTTTAGTTTAGGTTTCTTCCTGTAGTAACACTGGATCAATAAGATATGATCCTTACTATATAGATTTCTTCGGAGAACAGTTTAGAACTGATAGAGCTATCAAGTATAAATAAAGTTAGTTTAGTTTAGGTTTCCTCCTGTTACTGGATCAATAAGAGATGATATCCTTACTGGACCTTTAAGTAAAGCAGTTTAGCACTGATAGAATTACTATCCAGTATAAATAAAGTTGTATGGTTTACTATTTTCCAGATTTCGAAGTATTGCAAAGTCATATTTTCGTAGAGTTGACGGAGTACTTTTGTTGTATGATGTTACGTGCGAATCATCGTTTGTAAATATTCGTGACTGGATGAGCACGATAGAGGTAATGTTAAACCTTATTGTTCTTGGTCGCTAAAAGAGGCAAAATATGTTAAGAAAGTTCTTCTAAATTCGACTATTTTTTTTTCAGGAAAGCTCACAAAAGAAAGTTCCCATCATGCTTTGTGGCAATAAATGCGATCTTCGAGATTCATATCTGAGGGAGGGAAGAAAAGTTGTCTCCAGAGAAAGCGGTCAGCGGTTAGCAAAGGTGAGCGTTAATAAGAGATGATCCTTACTGGACCTCTAGAGAGAACAGTTTAGAACTGATAGAGTTATCCATGCAGTATAAATAAAGTTAGTTTAGTTTAAGTTTCCTCCTGTAGTAACACTGGATCAATAAGAGATGGCACTTACTGGACCTCTAGGAAGAACAGTTTAGAACTGATAGAGCTATCCAGTATAAATAAAGTTAGTTTAGTTTAGGTTTCCTCCTGTAGTAACACTGGATCAATAAGAGATGATCCTTAATGGACCTCTAGGAAGAACAGTTTAGAATTGATAGAGCTATCCAGCTTAAATAAAGTTAGTTTAGTTTAGGTTTCCTCTTGTAGTAACACATGGGTCAATAAGAGATGATCCTTACTGGACCTCTAGGAAGAACAGTTTAGAACTGATAGAGTTATCCAGTATAAATAAAGTTAGTCTAGTTTAGGTTTCCTCCTGTAGTAACACTGGATCAATAAGAGATGATGCTTATTGAACTTCTAGGGAGAACGTTTATAGAACTGAATAAGCTATCGAATATAAGTAAGCATATTACCTAAAAGTATTTTCTTTTTAGCATTACGATGCGTTGTTTATCGAGACAAGTGCAAAAGATGGCAAGCATATCGAAGATGCTTGCAAAGAACTGGCAAGGTTTGCAGAAGAAATATTTTGCTTTTCTTTATTGCTTTTAGTAGTAATAGTAAGTTAAGGACTATGTAGAGCAATAATAGAGCGACTCGAAAAATATTTCTCATTCTTTTTGTTCCGAAATATACCGAAGTTTATGCTAGATTTTAGCAAACAATCCTGAGTCGCCTCGTTTTGACTTTTGTGCTTTTCCGCGCATTTCCAAGCCATAATATACAACTTGCGGCATGTTAGACTAATTTTTGATCAAGGCAAAATATAGAAAATATACCTCTGGCTCTGCGAAGTTTGCATGTTTTGTGACATGTTTGTATTACATGCGGAAATTGTTGCCACTTTTGAGCCGAAATGGTAACATTTTTCGCACGTAATCTGATACAAACATATACAAAATTTGCAAACCTTGCAAGATTATATTTTCCAAGCTTTACAACATTTTGCAACCAAATTTTGCAATTCTACTAATTTCATTATGTTCTTTTTAGCTGTGGTGTTTGATTCCTTTCTCTTTATTTAGATTAAAATTTACTCTAACATTCAAGTTGTCCATTTCATGACTAGCATGGGCTGTTTTCATTCTTAGTTCTTACACTTTGCCTTGAATAGCAGTCTCGATCTGTTGAAAAATCGTTTATTAGCTTGGTAGTAATGCATAAAATAAAAAAATGGAAACTCCCTCGACCTACAGTATCAGGCATAAACCGAAGGTTATAAGGGCAGTCCTCTGACCACACCCGTCAACCGTTTCTCCACATATTTTTAGAAGCACAGAAATTCTATTCGTAGTGCACATATTGTTTCGTATACAACACGACAAGAAACTCCGTTTCGAAGAATTTAATTGTCAAAATTTGAATTTAGTTTCTTGTCCAACAGAATTCTTACGTCTTTGGAAAATGAAGAGATCGAACAAAGTGGACTGAAACTCGAGAAAAAAGACAGAGAAAAGAAGAAACGACCTTGCTGTCCGTCTTAACAGCCAATGATGGAATCTTCGATCCGAAGACAGCTAGCTCGTGGAGCGAACGGTCTCATAAAGAACGCCATTTTCTCGTACGACTAATTCGCACATGTACACTCGTTAAAATATCACATCTTGTCAACAATACGTGTTCTGGAACAGGCTTTTAGCAAGCTTGTCAACAAGTTGTAACAATAAGTTCTTTGTATGATTGCATGGTGATAAAATATATAACATTTTTTGTTTGTGGAAACACCACGTAAATTTATTAATGCAAAGCTTTCGATCCGTAAGCCCGGATCTTCATCAGTGCTAATATTATTATTATTAGCACTGATGCATGAAGATCCGGGCTTACGGATCGAAAGCTTTGCATTAATAAATTTACGTGGTGTTTCCACAAACAAAAAGTGTTCTATAAGTTGTAACAATGTCGTTAGTTTGTCAAGTTGCTACAAGGTTGTCACTCACAACTTGTTACAGGGGACATTTCAAGCTCTAGATTAACAAAATAAAGATTTGATGAGTGTTCCAACTACGTTTTAACTTAAATAGAATACATGGTATAGTGTTGGGAAAATGCTGTGCTGAGTGGTTATATTACTACCTTAAAAAATGAGCAGAAACTCGACGTTTCTAGCGAAGGCCTTTCGTCAAGAGTTAGTAGCCACGTAGAGTTTCGGCTTATTTTTTAAGGTAGTAATATAACCACTCTGCACAGCATTTTCACATTGGTACTACCAACACTGGTACAGACAGTTTTAGTGTTGGGAAAGCATTAAGAACAGCTAACCAACGTCACGTGACTGTCAACTCTGATGCAGTTGTAGAATTTGTCTGTCGAGTCAACAACCTTGTATCAAGTTGACAACAAGTCGTCGACAGCTTCTCAGAAAGCGAACACATCTTGTTGAAAAGCTGTGAGATTTTCACCCGTGTTGCAACAGAATTTGATAAACAATCTTTGAGAATTTGTGTGAGTCGTTTGGACGACTCGACGAAAGCATGCTTCCTCGGAAAAATTGAATTTTAGTCCCTCTTTGCGGCTTCACTGCCTAAATATATTAGACTATATAGATTGTTTCCAAATGTTAGCAAAGAAGTCAGGCTCTGTAGTAATAATTTTAGTCAATTGTAAATATTTAAACATTCATACGATGACATTGAAATCAGTACATGCATAAAACGTTCGTAGTTCAGAGAATATATTTATTTAAAAATAAAATAGCAGGAGAAATCGAAACAGAACGAATAATATTAAAAGTCGAAAGATGAAGATTAGTATAAATATGTCAATTTGTGTCGCCCTATTCATACACACGGCGTAAAAACTCACAAGTTGTCACAAATTAAAAACAAGTTGTACGACAAGGTTGTTGTGAAGCCGATATCAGGATGTGTTCGCACTGCTTGTTCCCAGTTGTTGCGACAAGTCTGAAACAAGTTGTTATCATCTTGTTACAAGGTTGATGACGGTAACAGACTTGCTACAAGTTGTTCCAACACGACTAATACAGGCTGTTCGTAACAAGTTGCCACGAGCTTGTTGTCATCAACTTGTTAACAACTTGTTACGTGCAGACGATATCAGACTTGTTGGAACAACTTGTTGCGAGTCTGTTGGCCTCATCAACCTTGTTACAAGATGATAACAACTTGTTCCAGACTTGTCAACAACTGGGAACAAGCAGTGCGAACACATCTTGTTGACAAGTTGTGAGATTTTTACGCTTGTACATGGTGACTGGATGACATGGAGAACAGTGAGATTTTCAAAGCAATGAATGCCAAGGAAGATGAAATATACACTCTTAAAAAAACTCAATAATTCACGAGGAAAAGAGAAAAGAAATCAATGCCGTATCGGTGGTTTTATATGTGATAAAAAATCATGTTCATTTACATAAATTTTAGCTTTTTTTATCTCGGATTGCACAACGTTGATTTTTAAGATTACTTCGCCAATGAACTCATAAGATGGGCCGTTTTGTAAGCCATTTAAAACACTCGCATTCCGTGTTTTATCAGATACACACGTGAAAATCTCTTGTCAACTTGTCAACAAGATGTGTTCGCAACAGGCTTGTGGCAAGCTTGCCAACAAGTTGTAACAATGCTGTTATTTTATCAAGTTGCTACAAGGTTGTCACTCACAACTTGTTGACAAGTTGCTGAATTGCAGGACGATAACAAGTTGTTGGAACAACTTGTAACAAGTCTGTTGAGCTCAGCAACCTTGTAGCAAGTTGTCAACAAGCCATTGACAACTTGTCAACAAGCTGCGAACAAGCAGTGCGAACACATCCTGTTGACAAGTTGTTGGAACAGCATTGCTACAAGCCTGCTGTAGGTTTGTTACAACTTGTGCGTTTTTACGTTTGTATAAGACACTCCGCTATCGCCTCGTGTTTTATATCTGATAAAGCACTAAATACGCCGAAAGTTCCTACTCCAGATATATATAGAGGTCTAATCTGTGACCAGAGTCCTGTGACCGTGCTCGGGAAGAGAGGCCTGGAAATGGGGCCGGTCAATAATCTTACACAAAGTATCAATACTCCATCTCAAACCGCTGATTTATTGCCGGCTCACATGATAAATTTCCACGTTTTTCGATCGTTTTTGATCAGAAACTGTTCAAAATTTTTCGATATTTTTGTGAATCTAGTGTGGTTTTTCAAGGTTTAAAAGGTCGATCTCGTTGCGGGGAAGTGTGTAGTGTCCTGTAGTGTTCAAAGATGGATTTCCAACACAGGGCAGGCGGCAAAACTGGCAGTGGTGGCGTAGCGTCGTTTTCTGAAAGCAATCGAGACAGACGAGAAAGGTTGAGACAACTCGCTTTGGAGACGATTGACTTGAATAAGGTTTGATTCTATCTTTTATAAATCATGTTTTCTTTATTATTTGATGCCCTGATAAGCCCTGGATATTTCGTATACTGTCTGCTTGTATGTGAAAGTTTTTAGAGGATATATATTTATTTGTCATATTGCTGTTCAATCCCCCCCTGGAAAATTCTTTGAATGTGTTCTTATACTAAAGAGGTAGTTTATATGGAAGTTGAACTTCGGCCATGCAAGCGAGATCTCACTGTGTGGGTATTTTGTAGTAGGAATTGCTTTGCGTTGATATGGACAGTTAGGCAGTTCTCGTTTCCACGATCTCACTTGAATAACACAAGATCTTGCTTAATAAGAAAGCTTTGGATTGATAAGGATACATATACCTGAAAAATGCAAGGAGAACTTCAACATTTCGAGTGAAGGACTTTTGTCGGGGAGTCAGTTACTGCTCCTAACTTTCTGACAAAAGGGCTTTGCTTGAAACAGCAATGTTCTCCTTGTATCACAATCAATCCAAAGCATTCTTATCATTGACACAGATTGGTACCTATTACTGCGCCTAATGTGCCCTACTTTATTATTCGAAGTACCTAGATAGCCAGCTGTTTAGTAAACTGCCGGTCATTTAGCACCTGACATTTCTTATTTAGTTATATAAACTCATTTTTTTGCAATTGTATTCAGCGAACTTGTTGGTAGCGTATTTGTTAAAGTCGTTGCGTGCGAAGTGAAACATGGTCTGGTCCGGATCCAGTGTAGCTGACTACTTTTTGTCTGACTTACAATTTTTTCTTAATTTAATTAAATTTTTTTTAAACATTTTTTCCGGCTTTTTTTAAACTCTCAATTATTTTAAAAATATTTAATGTTAACTATAGTCACTACTGTATATTGTCGACAGTTTACTAAATAGCCGGCTGTCTAGTCACTTTTGTTTATTATTTTCTTTTAATTTAATTAATATCTAATGCCGGAAAAGTTTACTTGTCAAGGAGAGAGCTGGAATTCAGTGGGTTAATTTAGGAGAAAGAGGGACAGCAGCTTGTATTGATCTCTTTTATATTTTCTTGTCAATAGGATCCATATTTTATGAAAAACCATCTTGGTTCTTATGAATGCAAACTCTGTTTAACCTTACATAATAACGAGGTAATGTTAGATTTAAATTTATTCACATTTATTGAATTTGTAATTAGTCAAAACATACTATTTTATATTTTATGATAATTTATAAGTTTGTATAACATTGTTTATCCCAGGGCAGTTACTTGGCCCACACTCAAGGAAAGAAACATCAGCAAAACTTGTGAGTACATTTGCACGCTAACCTGTCCTAATTTGTTATTTACTCTGTCTAACAGCAGACAATTTTACATGTCAAGGGGAAAATGTGGGTCATTGCTTTTGTGGGCCATTTGTCTTGTTAACCCTTTCGGTGGCATTGCATCCTAATGTCCCCTACTTTGTTATTTTACTCTGTCCGAAGCCAGATGATTTTACTTGTCAAGTTAAGAGTACTCCCACTCAATGGGTTAATCAGATGATCTGCCTATGTGTCTAGTTAACCTGTTAAGTTGCATTGCACCCTAATGACCCTACTTTATTATTTTACTCTGTCAAATGCCAGACAGTTTTACTCATCACTTGCAAGTGCTGGTGCTCAATGGGTTAATAATATTTTTAGAGCAAGGAGAGCCGCCAAAGAAGCGAAGGACGCTCCAGCACAACCACAACCGGTAAGATCAATATTGTTTCCACATACTAATGGTTCTAACAACACCTGTGCCAGGTCTTTGAGACTGATTTTATAGCGGTATCTTGACTTTTGAGTCACATTTGTGGATTTCAAGGCAGGAGTGGGCAGTAAAATTGAAAATATTTGTATGTTTGGCCGTAAGGGAAAATCCATTTGACCATTTCAGAGGGGACAAAACTTTACTTCTATTTATATCTTATGTCTGTGTTTTGCATTTTAGCCTGCTTGAGCAGGCTATTTTGCAATGGCTTATAAATTATTTCCAACTTTTTAAAACAGTTCTAGTTTGTTTTCCTATTCAACCAAATTATGGGCACGTTGTATTCTGACAGTTCAAAATATTAGGTAAATCATTTCGTTCGTGTGTGTTCAATTTTTGCAAGCAAGCATGTATTTGGTTCTGATTTTTCATGTATATTAATTTATTAATAAGTAATTATGTTATTTTTCGCTCAATTTGAGGAGACATAACACTCGTTCTTTGGGCTCGTGCAATACACCCTTTCGATAATTACGTCACAACTACACAGTTTTCAACTTAGGACCACCTTAAATGGAAAGGATTTCAAGTTTTTTCTGATGGGCTATGCACAGAGAAGCAGAACATCCTTCTTCAACACATGCATGAAAAAATTTGGGGATTTTGATCAATAAATGTGGAAATAAGCTTTAACACGAAAACGAGGCTCCAGACCTGGTCATGACCTGGAGCCTCGTTTTCGTGTAAATGCCTATTTCCATATTTATTGATCAAAATTCAAAATTTTTTATGCATGTGTTGAAGAAGGATGTTCTGCTTTTCTGTGCATAGCTCTTCAAAAAACCCTTGAAATCCTTTCCATTTAAGGTGGTCGTAAGTTGAAAACTGTGTAGTTGTGACGTTTTTACAAATTGCACTTGAAATATTCTTTGCAGAACTGCACAAACTTTGCACACTGAACGACATCGATGAAGGCACGTCGTAACCTATATGTATATATTTCCACAATTGATAATTGTATATCAAAGATTCAAAGTAATCTTTGCATTAAATATATTTTTGTTTTAGTTGAATGTTTTCGTCGTTTATTGCTTCGACCGATCTATTCCAAGTAATCACGTCAGTTTGAAGTTTTCATTGAAATTTAATTCAGTATGTGGGCCACTGAAAATCCATTTGACCATTTCAGAGGGGACAAAACTTCACTTCTATTTATATCTTATGTCTGTGTTTTGCATTTTAGCCTGCTTGAGCAGGCTATTTTGCAATGGCTTATAAATTATTTCCAACTTTTTAAAACAGTTCTAGTTTGTTTTCCTATTCAACTGAATTTGGTTGAAGAATTATACATTCTGCTTCCGCGCAGAGACAGGCCTTCTTATTGGACATTGTCCTTCCAAATTATGCCTTTTGTCTGATCAAAGCCTTTGAGAAAGCCAACCAACTTAGACTGGTAGAATGTCCAATCTTTAAAAATTTATTAACACATTTTTTGCCGCGTTAAGCTGTTTAATTACAAATCTAAATCCCCTTTGTATATCATGTCAGAAATCATTGGCTGACATTAGACTACCAGTTTTGAAAGACCTTTATTAAAGTCTGGTCCCAAATATCGCAATTCAGAAGCATTGTTTAGGAGCAAGTTGCAAGCATGCAATCACACCCATATGACGTAATTTATGAAATTGTCATATTAAAGCTAAAGTTAGCAATATAGCAAGCAATATATGATTCTGTACAATGCATGCCAATGATGCCACAACATACACATTGTGTACAATCTGCTTTGTTCTGTGTAGGATTCCTAACAGCTCTGCTGATAAAATATTTTAAACCATCAGAATTGATAGGTATGACTGTACATTAAACAACAACGCTAATCGACATGATTAATTGATTATCTTAGAAAAAGTATCTAATGTTAGTCAAATGGTACAACTCCGGACTCTTTATTCATTTTATCAAGTGACTCATATTTCTGAAGGATTCACATAACTTAGTCCCCTTTGGCATACATGTTGAAAATTGTCCACCATTGGTAGAAATTATAGTTATGTATAACCTGAACTATAATTTACTGCTGCATTAGGACTGGTAGATATACTCAGTTTTAGATGTACTGCAGTGCCAATCATCATGAACAGTTGAAATACATCGTGCTCATTTTGAAACAAAATATGAAAAATTTTATTTTGTTCACTGTCCGAGAAAAATTGATAAATGTCCGACCAGTTTTTGTCTTGGGCAGACATTTGTTTTTCTAAGTGAAATGATTATTTGCTGGCTTATATTCTTGCATTCTTGTGGAATTTGTGCGATAATGTTGGGCAGAGTATATAGTAATTTACCGTACTGGATATGCACCATACAGTGACCTCTCGCACCTTTCTAACGAAAAATTTATATTTCCCAACATTGTTTCAACATGAAGTTGAAGGAACAAGTTGTCTGGAACAAGTTGTTATCATCTTGTAACAAGGTTGACGAGGCCAACAGACTCGAAACAAGTTGTTCCAACAAGTCTGATATCGTCTGCACGTAACAAGTTGTTAGCAAGTTGATGACAACAAGCTCGTGGCAACTTGTTACGAACAGCCTGTATTAGTCTTGTTGGAACAACAAGTTGGTGTAAAGATATGGAACACATTAAGTTCAAACATTAGAGAAAGTGTATCTCTAAACGACTTTAAGAGGAAATTTTTAACAAATTATTTTTTAACTAGTAACTGATAATATTTCACTCTATTGTAAATAACTTCAACTCATATTTTTAACTAAAATAGCGAGGGCCCTGAGGAAGATAAGTCTTTTGATTTACCAGGTATATTAGCTATGTAATATTTTTAACCCTCTGTAAATAAAGTTTATTGATTGATTGATTGTAGCAAGTCTGTTACCGTCATCAACCTTGTAACAAGGTGATAACAACTTGTTCCAGACTTGACACAACAACTGGGAACAAGCAGTGCGAACACACCTATGTAAAGAGTGCTATTTAGACATTTGTCATTTCAAAAACGTGATAAATGTGGATTTATATTGATATCAAATGTAAACAAAAAATGTACAGTATGCTGCTTGCAAAACAAAACGTATAAAACATAGATCTTAATAGAATAGGCAATAATTACAAAATTAATCAAGCATGTATTTCATGCTGTTATAAGCTAACGTGGAAAATATTCACTCTTGTTCATTCTATATGAAATTTCTGTAAAGCTAACTTTTAAACTATATTTAAATGTAACTAATTGGATTAGTGTGGGTATATTAGGATATTTATATTAAAACCAATGATTAGATTTTCTGCGTTTTTACTGAGCAGATGGTGATGCTCATGTCTCAGTTGTTGGTCTACCTTAATTTGAATAGCAAAATACTTGCACACCTATAAGCACATTTCTGTATCAAAACTGTTCGTATGAAACGGCTCATCTAACTGATCGATGATATAGATGCTTTCTGCTGGCTTTACTCAATCTGATTATAGCCTTTATTGTGAAAAGAGTTGACTGATGCCAATATGTTCTCATTGATTTTTTACTTTGGGTTAATGTCATTCGCCGTGTCTGCACCACTAGATCAGTGGTCTGCACATTCTAACAATGACACATTAGATGACGGAGATAAACTAAACATCAGCACTACGTTGTCGATTTTACCGTCCACGACGATTCCTGTTTCACAAAATTGCGTTTTGGAGATGACAGGGAGTGAAATCTCGCAGGTCGTTAAACTTTTTAACAGTGATCTTGTTAATATAGTGGATATTCATGTCTCCTTCTCTGGTACTAGTCACGACAGACATCTCTTATCGGATTTTTATGTTTCATTAATGAATCCCATCGGTCGAAAAATTCTTTACACGATTGAAAGATCGGTGCACAGATTTACTGGAGTATAACATTATATGCAGGCATAAGAAACTTGAAATTGCATTTCGAGGAAAGTCAAAACGATTGCATTAAAAATAAAATAAATGTAACTAATTTTGCATTGAAGAATATGCAGAATATTGTTCGCAGCATAAACCTGGAGACGGACTACGAAGTTTGGTCTTCTTTTAAGGAAACTTCATCTGGAAAAGTACGTCGCATTTGCTGTCAGATTATGAAATCCAATTTGACGAAATTCAATTATTATGAATGCTCTCAAAAAAATTCATTTCTTTACGGGAATAGTTTTCCTTATTGGATTGTTATGTTTGTGGTGTCGTGTCCTTCTGCCTGTTTCTTTTTCATGAGGGTGCTATACTTGCTTTTGTCTTTTACTGAATTTGACTTGAATAATTCTGAATATTACAAGTTGGAGGAAAGCAGGATGACGCCATATTTTCTTGTCCTTGAAGTTTTTTGGAGAGAAAAAGGTGCCCTAGCATCTTTTTTGCGCAGCTGTGTATTGGTTGTTTTTGTTTTTTTTCTTTGTTACCTGCGCTTTGAATCAAGTTCATTCAATCTTTTCATGGCTGTACTTCTTTTCTTTTGGGCAGTATCATTTACATCGTGTTATTCAATCGTATCTAGGATTACGAACTCAACCAGTAAAATAAAAAAGATACGAGATTTTCCATTAAAATATTATAACTGGCTTATTTCTTATGGGGTTTATGGTTGGTTGATTGAACGCAGTGAAAACGACTTACTCCAGGAACTTAAACGTAGAGAATTTGCAAACGAGATTACAATCATAACTTTGCCATTTACATGGACGTTTTTTATTGCATTTCTCGAGTATTTTATTGGACGTATACGTAAACGGCAGTTCAAGTATAGTATTCTTGGAATTTTAGCAGTATTTGTATCGTATCCATTTTTAATACTATTTTTTGTCCTATATACTTTATTGGTTGGCATATTGTCAGGAATTACTTATCCTGCATTCCGTGTTGGAAGCATGTTATTCGTGATTCTAAACTTAGATTTTGTGATCCGCAACTCCTACTTTACACGATTCTTGGTTTGGTTTAACCTGGGCGGCCTTCTTTTTTTTCTCGGTCTTTCTTTTTACGTAATGACAAACGCAATACAGTGTTTGCTTGTAGGATTGTTTTTAAATCTTTTTGTCTTTAGTCCATATTTCGCATATTTGTCTGTCGTAGCATTCTACTGTTGCAGTTATTGGAAGACTATTGAAGAGAAATACTTTGTATTGAAACGGCTAATTTACGAAGCATGTCGAGACAAACAATACGTCAATAATGGCTGCATACCAAATAGACATCCCAAACGCAAGGAAAAAGTATTACCTGTGGTGTCCAAAGACCTTTATGATGAGATTAGAAAAGAATTGTTACCGTACAATACGAACTTATTTTATTTTGGATTGAAAATGTTTTGTCTCGCTCTATTCTCATTTGGTATTTTTAAGCTAATCGCCATGCTTACAGTATTACATATTACTAATTTAATTCCAATCGTGACAACTGCGATTATCGGTATCATACCGCACTTATTCAATATGGAAGCGCTGAAAATGAGCGAAGAAAGGAAAAAGGCCAGGGAGGAAAAGCTTAAATTAATTGTCAAACGCAGGGTGGATGAATTAGTTCGTAAAAAACCAAAACTAGCTCGGATCGTTTTGATAATTGTACAGGACAATGACACGAAAGATAAGGAAAATATTGAACGTTATGGACATGTTAAATCCGGCTTTGACTTAAACACACCTGAATACGAGAAGAGATTGCAAGAGAATGATGACGCGACAACTGATGAAAATGTTAAAATTTATAAATATGTTGTAGCCAGTTCTGATTTGAATACATTTGACAGTGACAGTTTGCCGTTCGTGACAGTACATTCACCCCCTGCTACGAAGACACCCATGAGAGCGGATGACAGGACAGTGGATGACAGGACAGCGGATGACAGGACAGCGGATGACACGACAGCGGATGACAGGACAGCGGATGACACGACAGCGGATGACACGACAGCGGATGACACGACAGCGGATGACACGACAGCGGATGACACGACAGCGGATGGCAGGACAGCGGATGACACGACAGCGGATGACACGACAGCGGATGACACGACAGCGGATGACACAACAGCGGATGATACGACTCCGGATGGCAGGACAGTCGATGACACGACAGCGGATGGCAGGACAATGGTCATCAGTCCTGGCTTAAATCCATCTGACAATGCTGACGTTGATGATCCTGAACTAGCGGGAACTGTGACAAGACAAGAGTATAATGATACGACACATGAGGAAAATATTCAAGATTATGAACGTGTAGAAGGATTTGAGTTGGATCTATTTGATAATGATTACATAAGTAGTGAACATGAGACCTTAATTCTGCGCGAAACATCCGTGTAACTTTTTATATAAACTTTCTATCGCTGTATAACTATTATGTTTCGCATATCAACACACGTTTCTCAGGATAACTTCACAACCTCGTTCCAGGCCTTTTCCCGCCCTGTTTTGGTGAGTACATTTTCCGAACTGTTTGTTGAAATTTCTTATGTGCGTCTGTTGTTAACTTCAAGCCCAGATCAAACGAGATGAGAGTTGATGAGAGTTGGCAGTCGCGCATTGTTACAGGGGACATTTGAAGCTCTAGATTAACAAAATAAAGGTTCGATGAGTGTTCCAACTATGTTTTAACTTCAATAGAATACATGATAGTGTTGGGAAAGCATTAAGAACAGCTAACCAAGCCTCGCGTGACTGTCAACTCTCATATGCACTCTCGTCTGATCCAAACTTTATTATATACACTCAGTGGCGTAACGCTCACTGGGTAGGGTTAGTTCAAAAACTAAGGGCCCCCAACAGTTAGGGGCCCCATCACCCACGGCCTATCGCCCAGAAAATTAGAAAATGTAAAAAATGCAGGTTAAGTATCAATGGGTAAATGCAAAATCAATAATGCTAAAGAATTAAACGTCCATCGACAACGGTAGCTGATTTTTTTAATTCCATCTCAAATAAAACAAAAGTTATTCTTATTAGTTGTTACACGTGTTGGAGACCGTTAATAGATAGCTTAAGATCTACGACGTCTGCTAGGACTGGGAATAGGATGTCGTCCTGATGTAGTCCCAGTCCTCTGCTTAGCCCGGACGCCCTAGCTAACGTCGACGTCGTAGATCTTAAGCTATCTATATTGTTACCGACACGGAATTTTCCATTCTATAAATATTCAATATAAATATAACATCTCAGTCAAACAATGACAACAGTCAACAGGGGCCCTCACACCAAATATGCCTAAGGGCCCCCTTTACCTCCATTACTCCACTGTATACACCTTGTCCCGTTACAGTCATAGAAATAATATCCGTAGACTTTTTTCAAACGTATGTTGTCTTGCAACTTTGTAAAGCCATTTTATTTTTAGTTCATACAATCGTCCATTATCGCTAGAAATAGTACCCCCCCCCCGCCCCTACCACGATCTTGTTTCAAACTATGATTATTGAGTCACAAGTCAACATCGTGAGT